GAAAATATTTTACCTGCACAAACAGACTATTATTAGTCAGAAAGGTCAGAAAGTCCCCTCTCTCCTCACCCCCCTTTTTTTGTTATTGTAGAGAATGGTTAGCAATCAGCTCAAAGACCATGTGGGTGCCAGTTCTTGTCCTGGATGCTTCAGTTTCAGTCTTGCTCCCTGCTAATGGCCTTGGGAAAATAGCAGAAGATGGGTCAAATGCTTGGGCCCACGCCATCCGTGTGTGAGACTGGGATGAAGTTCCTGGCTTTGGTCTGGTTCATGCCCTGGTTGTTGGAGTCACTGGGGGAAATGAGCCAGTGGATAGAAACCACTTCCCTCTCTCTGCCCTCTGTAACTTTATCTGCTAAGTAAATAAAGCATTTAAAATAATGAATAAATTAATAGTCGATTATGTATGATAGAAATAAGGTATTGGAATCTTCACTTGATGTCAATGACATTTGCCTTTGACATTGCCATTCAAGAAAAACTTAGGAACACTCCTACTAGGCATACCTAGATTATTTTGTGAGCAAGAAGAGCAGTTTAATTCATTCTAATTTCTCCTGAATTTTCACAATAGTTCATTACTATATTGAGGCAGAAGGTGTTGTGGGAGCATGACCTTATCTCATGGAAGAATCATTCCATAGCAAAGTATTGGCCTGGCTTGCTGCTTTTAGATTTACCTGGGTATGTTTGAATAGTGAATACTCAAGCTAGTAAATGTAGGAAAGAACTTTAGTATGTTTTTGTCTCACTGTCATATTTCATAGATTAGGAAACTTAAGTCACAAAGCCTCCCCAGTGGTTGAACCAAGATTTGATTCTGCTTTCCTTAGGAAATATTGCACTTCAGCTTCTACCACACTGCACTGCCAACTCTGATTTTCATGTTATGCTGGGTTATAGATCACAGAATAAACAAAAAAGAGGAAAAAGCTGCTGACAAAATAGTTTTGAGGATTGGAAGACAACGTACACACTAGCCACAGACACCTCTGCCCCAAGTCTCTTTGTGGTTTACTTGATAATACTCTGAAGTCTCTGGGAAATTTGCTCTGAACATTTATAAAGAAACTAAGAACCAGTCCACTGATTTTATCTTCTGTAAAAACTAATACAAGATTTAAGCATCAAAACAACAGTGGTGCACTGTAATTTACTCTTAAAGGCAAATAAGTAGCCAGAGCAAATACCTTGCATTTTAATTGGATGTGTACTGCAGCTGTCTTCATGCTGACACATCTCTCCTTATTTCTTTGCTTTTAGTAGTAGGAAACAAGCATTATTTTCTTCCTGTATACTTAAAATAAAAGCAGTTTCACTGTAAATCAAGACAGCTCTACAGAACAATGAATAAAATATGAATGTAATCTACATGAATGAATAATGATTATAGCACACTGCCTAACTCTCAGCGTGGGTCAAGAAACACGGCATTATCAGCACACTTGAAGCCTTTCTATCCTTGTGTTTTCTTACCTGGTTCAAATTTCCTCTGCAGACAAAAATCACTATGTTGAATTTTATAGCAATTCAGGTTATATGCTCTATTTCTAATATTTATAATGCTTGTTCAAGAAATCACAACAGGCCTGTGTTGTTTACTGTCCTCCTAGATAGTATATTGTGGATTGACAACACAATGAAGACATGTATTTATAATTTCACTGCATTGTGGCTTTTATTATTTGTTTTGTATACCATTTGTCAGTCTAATATTTGCTTCTTTGACAGTGAGCTGTCTTTTTTCCCCTCTTCTGGCTGATTCAGGATTTTTTGCTAAAATTGAACTAGGTGTGTATTTTTTAAACAAGCTACTTAAGATTCGTTGAAATTCTTGGATTTTGATTGAATTTTTAATAACTTTAAACCCCATCTTCCAGTTCATCAATTCTTTCTTTAGCTCTATCTAAATGTGCTAATAAACCTAACCATTTAGTCTTTAATCTGCTAGTGCATGCTCTTTGCCCATTCTAGTTTGTATCTTTTCAAATTAGCGAATTTTTTTGTGCTGTTTAGATAATATTACAAGATTGTCTTTTATTTCTCTAAACTTAATAAGCACAACTTTTTGGATTGAGTGCTTTAATAATGTATATATCAAAACTGTGGGTTTATTTCTATAGGATGACGTTCCTGTGGCTATCCTTTTTTTCGTTGTGTTTGTTTTTTTATGGTATGCTTGCATCATAGCATTGTTGCATGTCATTCTAACATAAATATTTTTAGATACATTGTGAGGCCTAACATAAAATTGCTTTCTTCTTGAAACAGTTTTATTTTCAAAAGCCTATATGTGATAATAGCCTGAGATTTTATTAAGATTTAAGGATTAAGATTTTCTGGACTCAGAAGTGAAGGACTGGAGTGATTCAAAGGTGTGTTATAATGTACATGAGGGCTGGTTTGTTTCTGAGTTACTTGTTCTCTAGGTATTTAACTCTGAGACAATCTTATAGACGATTCCTCCCTTGGTGACTCTTGGAGTTAAGGATTCAGGAGAGCAGCATAACTAAAGCAGTTCCAATCTGCACCTCTGGGTTTTGGTTTTATCAACAAATTTCACCTAGAAACTTCTTCTCTTTCTCTCAGGTCTTTTTTCTAACACTTTCAAAGGTTTTGTTTGACTGTTTTGCTTGTTTTGTTGTGTGAATTGCATTGGATCATCTAGACAACCATCATTGAAAATTAGAATAGTTTTGCATGATGTTTCTAATTTGAGTGTCTATCCCCTAGTAATATAAACTAAAAATATAAATAGAGATTTTAAAAACTAAATAATTTTGGTGAAACTTGAAGAAGAGTAAGGCAAGTAATACAAGCAAACTTGTGGCAAATGGACCATCCTGCATAATGCTCATCCTATTATAAATCGCAGCATCTCCTTAAGAAAGCTGAGGTTCCACAATACATATCATGACAACAATGTTTAATTATTTTGGTCAAATGTCATAAAATTTGCACAAAATTAGATTGCTGAAAACAATCTTAATATTCAACATTAATGGATTGGCTTTAAATTAAGATAGCTTAACATGATGGCCTGCTACATAATAATTAGGAAGGATAATTATTACTATGCATTTATAAAACATAAATATTTATAATGTAACATTAAATGACAGAATACAAATTAATATATTAATATGAAAGTATACTTCTAGAAGATAAAGAGCAAAAATGTCCAAATACTATTTCTATTTCACTGGACCACTGGACAATTCTTTTTCCCTAAAAGAGTTTTACATAGTGGTCTGAGCTTTAATCTTTGAATAATAAAGGCAGCAGGTTGACATTGTGGCAGGGTAAAGCCTCTGACTGCAATGCCAGTATCCTATCTGGATAGCAGTATGAGTCTCAACTCTCTACTTCTGATCCAACGCACTGATAATGTGCCTGGGAAAGCAGCAGAAGGGGGTCTGTGTGCCTTGGTCTCTGCCACCCATATGGGAGACCTGGATGAAGCTCTTGGCTCCTGGCCAGTTACAGCCATTGTAGCGATTTGAAGAGAAAACCCATGAATGATAGATCTCTCTTGCTCTCTGTCCCACCCTTCTACCCCATAATATCTTTCAAATAAATAAATAAATAAATCTTTAAAAATATATAAATACATGAAAAGAATAAAAACATGTTTTAAAACTTAGATAGTAAGCCATCATATTAATACTTTTCCCAAACAATTTTAGCAGGTAACTTTACTGTACAATTAGGGAAAATGAAAAAAGAAAAGCAAGAACAATTTGAATTTCTTCCTTTTGAAAAGATTTATTTTTTTTTATTGATTTGAAAGACTGAATTACAAAGAGAGGGGAAGACAGACAGATACATACCACACACACACACACACACACACACACACACACACACACACACACCCCAGGTGGGGAGAGAGAGAGAGAGAGGTCTTCGTCACCTGGGTTACTTCCCAGATAACTCCAGATGACTGCAGTAGCTAGGGCTGTGCCAGGCCAAAGCCAGGAGTCTGGAGCTTTATCTGGTTCTCCCACCATGGGTGCTGGGCTGAAGCACTTTGGGCACATTCTGCTGTTTTCCTTGGTGCATTACCTGGGAAAAAGATTGGAAATGGAGCAGCTGGGACTTGAACTGGTGCCAGATGCCAGGGTCACAGGTGCCTACTTTGTTTGCTATACCACACATGGGCCCCAGAGTGATTTGAATTGTTTAGAATCTGCAGCCAGGCCAAAGGTATTTCAGGTTTTGTGTTAACCACATGCAAAGAATACAGCATTATTTTATTTCTAGAAACTTGAAATAGATTTGAAAAATGAAAATATAAGCATAAATCTGGGCCTGATGTTTATCGTCAGTCTTTGGTTCAGTTCTGAATGGATGAGGTTCAGAAAAGACATCTTTCTGTCATCTGAAAATATTTTTGTCCTATTCTTCTGTTGTCTTATGGAAGGGCATAATTTAAATATATGTATATTATATCGAACACTTCATGCTCAGATTAAGACATTTTGAAATTTTAAAAGCGTTTTCCCTACAAATTGTGTCGTTTCCAAAATCTTTGCTTGTTTGGCTAAGTTCTGTTCATCTTTTAATTTCAATTTTATAAGTAATATTTAGAGTAGAATTTTTCTGATCCTCTGATCCAAGTTATAACCCATCCTAACCCTACCACCTATATTAGAATGGTACTCCAGTGCTAGCCCAAATTATGATGCATTCCTACATTCATTAGTTTACCATCAGTCTCTAATATGGACTCTGCCAAAGGCGGAAGACCATACTATTCACTGAATGCTGTGTAAATATATTACTTAGTGCTGAACATACTAAAAATTATATATTCATACATGACAAATGAGCTTCATGTTAATTTATTGTTCTAGGAGATTCTTTGGATGTAAACTTATTTCATTTGAGCATAATAGAGGTGATTTAATGAAGAGATAAGTGTTCTAATGTAATTAATAGGGCAATAGATTCATAAATCATTACTTTTGCTTTTTTTTTTTCCTTTCTGTTTTATCCAGGGGAAACCAATGATTCTGCCAAGTATGAGATGTTTGCATTTCACAACGGAAGTGTGCAAGTTTTATGCAGATACCCTGAGTCTGTACAACAATTCAAAATGCAGCTGCTGAGGGGGGAACAAGTGCTCTGTGACCTCAGGCAGACGAGGGACAATGAAAACGCAGTGATTGTGAAGGCTCTGAAATCCTGTCAACATCAGTTACTCAACAACAGTGTGTCTTTTTTTCTATATAATTTGGACAGTTCCTATGCCGGCTATTACTTCTGCAAGTTATCAATTTTTGATCCTCCTCCTTTTCAAGTAGAGACTCTTAAAGAATATTTGCATATTTATGGTAAGAGATTGCTTTCATCTCTCTGGTTCAAGAGTCACATTTACAGTTTGACAACTTTCCTCACTAATGAAAAACAAATAAACAAATATGTGTTTCCTGTTGGAATTTATTCAGACAAGGCTGAAAGGAAGCAGTTTTGATGAAAATATAAAATTTACTATAATAGCAACAACTAGTATCAATCAATAATATGCAACCTAATTACAAATCCTACTAGGCTAGATAGATCATGTTGCTTTTAAGAAACAAATACCATTGGGCCCGGTGCAATAATGTTGTGGTTAAAGTCCTTGCCTTGCACGCACCAGGATCCCATATGGACCCCAGTTCTAATCCCGGTGGCCCTGCTTCCCATCTAGATTCGTGCTTGTGGCCTGGGAAAGCAGTCGAGGATGGCCCAAAGCCTTGAGACCCTGCACCCGCGTGGGAGACCTGGGAGAAGCTCCTGGCTTCTGGCTTCGGATTGGCTCAGCTCCAGCCATTGCAGCCGTTTGGGGAGTGAACCATCAGACGGAAGATCTTCCTTTCTTTCTCTCCTCCTCTCTGTATATCTGCCTTTCCAATAAAACAGTTTAAAAAGAAAAACCAAATACCATTACAATTAAGAGTAAATATAGGAAAAATACCCCTAACTCAAGGTTTAATGCCTCTTATTTCTGTTCTCCTAAGGTTTAAGGTTTGGTTTTGTTCAGGGTTAGTGGGATTAAAGTATAGTCAGAAAAGCCCTTCTTGTTGTCCACATTTGCAAACTTCTTACTGCATTGTCCATTAAGTTTAGTGCTATAAGATATGTTAATTACCATGTATTTCCTGGACTTCATAATGAAGGAAAGCTTTATTTTGTTTGATAGCTCCTTTCAATTTTGTAAAACCAACAAGCAACAACAACAAAACGAAGTGATTCAGCACTGTGCCGGGAGATGTGTTGGGTTTTTCACTAACATAACTTTTTTTTCCCACCCAGAATCACAGCACTGTTGCCAACTGAAGTTCTGGTTACCCATAGGATGTGCAGCTTTTGTGATAGTCTACATTTTTGGATGCATGTTTATTTTTTGGTTTACAAAAAAGGTGAGCAATTTCCATCTCTTTTTTTTCCTCTCTGTCTCTCTCTCATTCTCCCCTTTCTCTCTCCCTCTTCCCCCTTTCCTCCTTACTTATTTCAAATAAATAAAAACTTCTACAGCAACAACAACAAAAGAACTGCAACAAAAATTTCTCAGTGTTGTGAGATGTTGCTTTTAGCATTTTACACTGTAGAATCCCAAAGCCATTGTGCATATTATGTGAATGTGCCGTTCTCAGTATATGGACCAGATAGCGTGTGTATCTGCCAGATTGGAAATTGATAAGAGAAATAAAAAAAGGAAGAGAATGGGATTGGCCCCACAGTCAAGTTCTATTGGGGGAAATAACAATATGGTGAAAATGAGGAAGTTCAATAGAAAGCTCTTCTTTGAAGATTTTATTCTTTTATTCTTCTGCTTAGCATAAATTCAGAAGCTTTTTATACAAACAACAGGAGTGAACATAGGGAAAATAGGTGACAAACCATGTTTCTCTCTCTCTCTCTTTTTTTCTTTCAGAAGTATCAACCCAGTGTGCATGACCCGAATAGTGAATACATGTTCATGGCAGCAGTGAACACAGCTAAAAAACCTAGACCAGCAGGTACAGTGCTGTGAGGAAAGCTCTTTTGTTTTCATTTAGAAATTTCAGTTACTTTTTTAAAAGGGATGCAAACATGTCAAGACCTAATTTTTCTGTTTTCTGTGAGAATCTGGAATTTCACTTAATTCATACTTTGTACAGTGTATTGAAAAAAAGACAACAGTATGTTTTTAAACCACTATTAACAGCAAATGGGAAGTTCATAAATGACAATTGTATCCAAGTCCTTTTACAATGCAGGTTATGAGAATTGAGATGGGTATAAGTTTTCTTTGTGGGAAAATTTGTTACGTTGTATGATGAACATTTATTGCACATCAGTTAAATATAAATTACTGAGTGAGAACCTGTGGTTTTTGTGGAATTGGAATTAGAAAGACAGAGTTGAGTTGGCACTATCCAGGGAAAGAAACACAGTAGCAATGTTCAATGACTTCCACCTAAAGAATGTGCAAGTTTAGAATTCTTGGGTGACTTCAGAAGATGATTAGGTGGGGTGGTAAGCTTTAGCGTTGAGTGTTAAATCAGAGGACGGTGAAGTTCTAGGAGCACCTGGAAAGTCTGAGGCATCTGTTACGCAAAGTTTCAAAGTCTTACACCCTTGCGGTTGCCTAATGCAAAGTACATAATGACACAGATGGCGCTGCACAGCTTGCCACCATTAAGTGGTTAAGGACTGTAGGGAAGGGATGTGCAGTTTGTGTAGCATGAGATACAGGGAATGGGAGCCAGAAATGCTCCTTTATGGTATCTCCTCAGTTTTTGGGGTGCCAGAAGTTGATGCCATGAGTATTCTGTGACTCATTTGCTGCTGTTTTATTACTTTCCTATCGGAAAAATAAACAAAACAAAACCAGCTTCTGTTTCTCCATGTTGTGCTGTTAAAGATGTGTCTTAGTTTGAGTCCCTGAAGGCAGAACCTGGGTAGGTACTTCAGGGAAAGTCATTCATTTGGAAGATGACCCTGGGAAAAAAAGAAAAGGAGAGTGAGGCAGATGAGGAGAAAAAAAGCAAATGAAGATCATTGCCAAGGTCTCATCTCTAGACGATGGGGACTTGAATTCTCTAGAGCTCTGTAAAGTATTCAGGTGCCTCCCAGAGTTCTGCTGAAGGTGGGCTGGTGGCATTTTTATGCACTGTTCAGTCACTGTTGAATTGGGGCTGCCTGCAGGAACCATCAGCTTTCTCTAGTCCCTGAGCTGTGTGCATATTCGGGGCAGTTTCACTCTGCCATGTCCAGAGAATAGAAGCAGAGATGTAGGCTGGGGCAGTGGTGCTAAATCAGTAAGACTGTGCAGCAGCTTGAGTTAGAGGGGGCAGTTCTGAAAAGAACTCAAATAATGTCTCATGTGGGAACTGAAAGTGGACTGGGTAAAATCATAGAAAATATGAAACTGGTACTGCATCTTGAAGCAAAAAGATGAGCTTTGAATCGTGTGTGTGTGTGTTTGTGTGTGTGTTTAGGAGACAAAGAAAAAGGGAGCCCTTGGTAAGGGAAACTGCACATGGAGCGCTTAAAGAATTTGTTAATTGGTTATCATGGTTATGTTTTACAGAACTCTCTGGCACTCGGGCATGAAACACACCAACTGCGTCTCCACTCCCACATCCCACTCCCACTCCACCCCGCCACCTTGCAAGGAGAGACTCCTGGACCATGGATTTTGACTTGATTTGACAACATTCATCTCCTGTTGGTGTTTTGTGCAAAGTGGACCAACAACTCTATATGCCAACAGGATTTTAGTACATTTTCTTGGTGCTGCTGGTTTCTCACCTTCTTGCAACTAGCCTTACAGAAAGTTCATCTCATATGCACTCAACAAACAGACCTCACTAGGAGGGAATTCCTGTCTCCATGCCAACGCCTAGCAGCTCTACACTCAGTAAAACAAATGTCTTTTTTTTTTTTTCAAAGCTGAAAATGCATTTAATCTTCAAAGCAAATGTACAGCCAAGGGCCAACATCTGTTTGTGTTTCACTATTAGACCCTCTCTTCTCTCTGCAGGGATGGGCATTCCTTTTGAAATTAGACAATATGAAGGGATACTTCATAACTGCAACTATTTTATTTCTCAGGTGTTTACATAAACTGTATTGTACTAACACATTAATACATACGTAGTACTGTCCTCCAGTTTTTCAATGCCAGTGGAGCTCTCAGCTAAGTAGATGCCTTTTTGAGCCCTTGATTTTCTTCCTGTAAATAGTTTTACCTAACTACTTGAGAGTCTACAGCCACTCTAACTAGGGAGTTATAAATACCTACACTTTCCCCTTGGATGTGCAATAGATGTATATATACATATACACAATTACATATATGCAAAATATATAATGATAGTTTATGTGTATATATGTATGAGGACACATCAAAAAGTTTTTGGAAAAGCAGAAGTAGATGACAAGTTTATTTTAGTATAAATATTTTGAACCCAACAGTAATGTATACTTCATATGAATTTTCCATGAACTTTTTGGAAAGCAACTCACATGTATAGATTTCAACATTTCCATGTATTCAAATAAATGCATCTTTTTCTTTCATTTTCCATCACCTTTAAGAACTACTTTTGTATATGTACACACACACACACACACACACACACACACACACACACACACAATTTGTTTGTTTTCTTCCTACAAGAATATTTTTGCTCCAGAAAGTTTTTTGATTTTTCCAAAATTCAGTTAAAATGATTTACTTTGTTGACATTTATGGTAGGAAACATTGCCCAGAATCAAAAGCAATTCATTTTATTATCTTGTTTTCAACCATGATGTCTGTTTTCATGGTGCTATTAGTTACAAACTTTGCTATTTTTGCAGATCATATTAAAATTGCAAACCAATAAAATCATCTTTAATTGGCAAGCATTCTCCTAGGAGCAGAGCAAATAATCCATTTATTCTGAAAGCTTCCCAAACTGGAAGTTACTGCCAAGCTATGGCTGTGGTGCCTCTGGGCTGGACAGGTCTCTATCAGTCCAGAGTAGCACTCTGGATCTTGGTGGAATTCCAAGAGTTGACAGACACCCATGGGGACGGGTCAACCAGCTACTCTTGCCCCAAGAGGATGCTATAACCCTGGGTATCAGAATGGATCCATTTGCCTTTGAGAATGCACAATTCCCTCTCCTGGAGACTGACCTTGGCTTTTAAAAGGAAGTCCTCTTCATAAGGTTTGGCTGGAAAGATTCCTCCACACATGTAAGATGTGGTTATTCTCTCCACTTCTCTCTCTGTGTGCCTGGGGCTTTCAAAGCAGCTAGTGTGTATGTAGCAAACTGTTAACTTTTGATAAAAGTGTGTCATTTAGTAGTTTTAAAACATGCATTTGCCTGCTAATAGCTTATTTTAAAAGGGAGCTCCTGAAATGTCATTATGCATACTTACATTATTTTAAGCATGTGTAATGCTAGATGTGTACAGTATAGTACTGAACTCATAATCTGAATCCAGTGTGGTGTTCTTTGTTTCCAGCTGAGTAGGAAACCGGGATGGTCTTGCAGAGATGTTTGCTGTGTTGCTTGAAGCCTTTTGTATGGCAGGTGGGAATAAGCAGAACAACTGTCATAGTTGCCTATGGGATTGGATTGTCCCAGGCTATGCTTCGAGGCTTTCTCATTCCCACCTCTGGACATCCCAAAGTGAATTGTAGAACAAAATTTCTGTGAAATTGAAACTGGTTTTCAGAGGAACCAATTATTGAGTAGATGTTAGTGACAGTAGGGAGCTAAGAAATCAATATCTGATATTCAGCAGCTGACAATACCTCACAATGTATTCATGGGGCAGGGAATGAATTACCTTAGTTCGTACATGTGAATTGAACCCTGTTCTTGATGATAGTTACATGGTTTAGATCTGTTGCTTTTTTTCATTTTGAACTAAATGCAGGCATATGTAAGACAGTTGGGAGCACTAAAAAGGGACTCTCTTCCTAAGTTTCTGGCTGAATGACCTATCACCTCTGAATAGTACTTTATGTGCTTTCCAAAAACAAAAACATTGTCATCTGTGACTACTATACACCCATCAACGCCAGAAAGTCCACATTGACACATTGCCACCTCCAACTCTCAGATGGCATTTGAGATTTGCAAGTTGTGTCCATAATGTATTTCATAGCTAAATATTCCACCAGGATTTTTTTTTTTTTAGCATTTGTCACTGTGTCTCTGTGCCCTTAAGTCTAGACAGTTACTCCAGTTAAATTTCATGGCCTTCCCATGAGAAGGTAAGACCTGGCTGGTCCTAGTCCACTCCCAAACATTACAGTTATTTGGGGAATGTACCAGCAAGATAGAAGAACGCTCTTTTTTTCTCCGTTTATCACCCTGCCCCGACCCTATCCTCTCTGCAACTCTTTCAAATAAGTAAATCTTAAAAATTTTTTTTCAATAGATGTCATGCCTTGGTACTTTTTATATTATAGTTATTTTGTAGAATATCACTTGCTTGATCAGTCTGCGGTTTCTTCATGATGAAAATTAGGTTACTCACCATCGGCAGAAATAACACAGAAGTGGTGTTACGTTCTTTCAGCTGCATCCTAAGGTAGCTCACAGTTTCAACTTGTTCTCTTCCTCTTCTTATTCACTAAAGTCACCTAAGGCAATGCCTGTCCAGTTCCACAAGAGTCATGTAATTCTTCTTTATGTACAGTTAATAAAGATTTTATGAGAAAGTACTTTGAGACTTTGGAAATCTTCTGTTCCTCATGGAAATGTTAACATACTCATTTGTTCATTTACATCTGTATGGCAGCATGGTATCCTAGTTTAATTGCTAAATGAAAGTTTCTTACTATTATTATGTATTCATGCCGAAATGAGCCCATCACAGGCCAGTGAAAACCCACTCAGACTGGGTTGTGTGTCCTTCTGTCGCGTCTTCATCATTGTTTCAGTGTTGCTTTGTTTTCCGACGGGACAAATATTCCAGCTTCAGTTTCAGTTTTTTCCCATTCCAGTGTGGGAATCAGTCGCCTCTCCAAGGAGCCCTGTTTTCTTTGAGTGGAGAACACTTTTAGAATTTAACATCTAGACGTGAGTTATGCTCACACTACTGAGATTTCCTTGCTCTTAAGAGACATCACTGGACAGAGCTGGAGCCATATTTCTGTCCAAGTAGCTTAGATACATACAGCTAAACAGAGGTGAGTATTTACATGCTGTATTAAATGTACATAGATGTAACTTTATGCATTTATACGTATATGGGTATACAAATGCAGGTGTGTATGCATATATATATATACATCTGTTGAATGTATATAAATCTATAAATTTACACCCACGCATTAATATTTATGCAATGCTATATGATTCATTCTAGATTTATTGCTTTCTTTTATTTGTCCTGATGATGACAGAACTGCATCTTATGTCCTTACTTGGTTTCCCTCTCTCTACAAGTTTTATTATATATAATTTTTTTTTTTACTACACAAGCCTCATGTGTTCGGAGAAAGTATTCATTTTTTAAGATTTTGGTTGGCATGCAGTACTTGTGTATCTTTTTGGGGCACAGTGTAATGCTTCAGCACACAGTCAGCTAGAGTCACTGTAGATCACAACATTGGATTATCTGCTACATAAGACCTAGAGAAGATCTGTTAGGCTCAACACGCAGAGGTGCAAATGCCAAATGCTTGTTTGGATGCCAATTTACGTGTGCAGTCACTGGTATGAAACCTGGTTTCCAGGAGGATCAATGTTTCTGTAGCAACGTTGAATCCCCTCCTCCAGGATTTGTGTTTAGGAAGACGAAGAAGACAGCAAACTCACCAAATCTTTCTCATGGACATTTATAGCCTTTCACTTCATGCCATGTTTTATTTATTTTTAGCTTGTTGATAAGTGTTCATGAAGTTAATATATGCATTGTACCTGTCCATGCCTTTTCAGTGTGTTCTGCTAAGGCAGTGAGACAGTCTGTGTTCAAAGCCATGAACAATTCTGCGCACCCACTTTCCCATCCATTCCAAATCTGCCGTGTGCTTGTGTCATTTCAGGAGCACGGTTTCACTGTGACTAAAGCCCATCTTAGCTCTGTTAAGCTCCTTAGCATGGATTTTTTTTTTTCATTCTCTGAAAGTTAGAAGCTGTGATCTGGAAAGTTCATAAGAAGCTAAGAACATAGTTGGACAAAGCCTTCCATTAAACTATGGGCATCTGAGTTCCTTTCTCATGAACTGATCTCTAACTTGATAAGGAAGAGATTTTAATCTTCAATGCTAGTGAATAATATAATGGCAACTAACTATGGTTCTTCAATAAAAATAAAATGTGGCTTTTTCTTAATATGTTCTCTATTTCATTCTTTCATTTTTATAATTGCAATCTAAATGACTGCAGCTTATGTGTAATGAATGTGGTACCATTTCCATTTAACTTTCCAGGAGTTTGGTGCTGTGGCGAAAATGCTGTTTGGGGGCCAATTGCCCTATCTAAAGTCCAAAATTTCAAATAAATTTCTTTGCGATTCCCAGAAAAATTTCTAGGTACCTTTGAGTTGACTCAGAATCACAAAGAAATGCAGTTAATCAAAAATTAAAAAAAAGTTTCATTGCAAAGTGTCTTTTCCTAGTCTCTTGGGAATATGACAAAAATGGGGATGTTCCAGCTTGAAACATCTGAAGGATGCAAAATTTAATTTAAAACAGCACCACTTCGTTCTATCCTTATCATTACCTTGAACACACTTGGAGGCAGGTTTTGTCAAAGCACCACCTTCGCTGCCCTCTAAATATTCTCTGAGTAGCCTGTAAACCTCTTGAATCTCTTTATTCAACAAAACTAAAAAAAATGCACAGTACACGCACTCTTATTCATTCATATGGTTCCTGCGTTGGTCCTTTGTGTGTGCTGTAACAAACGACCATGAACTTTGCAATTTGTGTGG